GCTGTTAACCACAAAGTCCTTCACCGAAAAGCAACTACTAGCGAGTGTATCAGTTCGTCTGATATCTCTGCAGCATGAAGCCTATTTAATTAGAAACTTCATCAGCAATGAGTCAAGCGTTCCTGCTGTTTGGCGAAACCAATCAGCACAGTAGTACATTTTATATTGTCTGTTTTGTGATGATAACCGATATGATCCAGTTTCATCGAAACGTTGTATCTGTATCAAATAAAACATTTGTTTTTTGCCTTTCATGCCTCAGTGACGTAGGCAAAATACTCATTCTCCCTAGGAGTGAAAATTTTCTGAGAAGAGTGCTTACTACGTTGACTGTTGCCTTCACATGCTCATCAATGGAGGAACCCTGAGGTGGTACATGTGCAGCGTGCACTTTAAATTTGTAGTGAGAAGTATTGCATACGATTGTTAGAACTGCATCGATCAGAAGATTAGGATTAGCTCTCAGATAATAATGAAGGAAAGTAACAGATTTCACAGTGGTTCAAAAATCCACGACCCCAAGAACCCTTTAAATGGTCAGCGGTCTTCTCTCTGCCAAAAACTCGTGGTACTTGTTCTTTTCGGCTAGATTGTCTTAAACTGAACCCAATGTATTTCAGCACAAATTAAAACAGTGCGAGGGAAGACGAGGTAGAAAATGACAATTTTGTGGCTTTTCAAATATTTATTATTTAAATGGGAATTACAAGGTTTTGTCACGCGTAAATCAGGAGGAAAAGAGTACACGAGGCTCATAAACAACCGTATGACAAACTGGCTAATTTTCATCCAGTATAATGACGTCAAGATGGTTTGGCTGCGGATCAAACGACAGAGATTTTATTAAGTGTCTTTTCTTGCTTTTAATACCGTTGCAGTAGTGTATGAGTTCGATGAAAAACACGGGTTCGTGTTTCTTGCCAGAACAGCATTCACGATTATGCGCGCAGCCATGCGTTCTAAACGTGCCATCCTTCCCAGTCACTGCTCTCCTAAAATCTTTCCATAACATCACAATACCACGTTCAGCTTACCAGCGACAGTCGTACCCTATGGCTTGAGCGACGTGTTTCATTTGGTACGACATTAAGCCAAGTTCGTGCCACACTTCTACCGTAACATTAAGGTTTTGCGACGGATCATGATGGCAGAACACTTGGCC